TGTTCCTCCAGTGTCCCCACATGCCCTCCCCGTGACCCAGCAAGGCAGCTGGACAGAGGTGGGCTATTGACTATAAAACAATAATCAGCGAGTCCAGAGAAAGAGTTGGCATGTCCCCCCCGCCTCTGTGGCTCGGCTGTGATCGGCTGAGAAGAAATGAAATTCTCTCTGCAGAGAAACAATTCAGGGCCCAGGCCCAGCCTCGCACTGTCTGCCACTGCCATCTGATTAAAAGCCCAGATTACGGATGCTGTCCCACGGAGCACCCAGAATCCCCTGCCCTCCATTCTTAGGTTCCAGAACAACTTTAAATATATATTTAATCCCAGTCGAGGTGTGGCGGGAAGACCTGGGTCTGCCCTCCTGTGGCACCTAGAACCTGCGTGGCTTTCAGAAGTCACCAGTCCCAGTTCCTATACTTGTAAAAGAAGGCTAGAAGCTCTTGCTTTTGAAGGCCAGGTCAGGGAACATGCATAAAAATCTCTTGTACCTGGGCCTGTTATTTCTGGCCGTGGCCATTTGACACCTTAGGAGAAACTTGAAGACGTCAGAGATTTTCCGAGTGTGTGTCACAGGCTTCTCCAACCGCCAGCCCCCCCAGCCCAACAGTGTCACCTGAAGCCACCCGCATCCCACCTTCCCCCTCCGCCTGGAGAGGACTCTGTCTCCTCCCCCTGAGTCCTTGACATCACAGGACACTCTGCTCAGATCTCTCAGAACTTCAGCGTCTCTGACCAGTGTGACGCTTGGGTTCTCTCTCGTACCCAAACAAACACAAAAACCATTTTTATAAACGAGGCCAGAGGTGAGCATTCTGAGACCCAGGAAGGAAAAGGGATCGTTGATGCCCAAACGATCACTCGGAGGAGTCTGCCCGCTTAGACGTGGCACAGCACCGACTCCAGATCCCAGCACACGGGTGCAGACCCAGAATTTCCATGACGATCGTGGCCGTTGTTCACGGCTGCCCAATCCTGCCGCTCCTGGTGCTCAGACCCGGAGCTCATCACTAGTATCTAGAAATGTAACTGAACTTTGTATAGTGATTCTGTATCTTGCCACCTTGCCACATTGTTTATCAGTTTTTATTAGAACTAATAAGTGGGTTCCTTGGGATTTCTGCACACAAGATCCTGCCGCCTGCAAATAGACCCCCTTTCTGCGTTTAAGGGCTTAGCTAATCCAGGATGATCTCTCTATTTCAAAGGCAGCTCATTAGTCATCTTAATCACATCTGCAATGTCCCCTCACAGCAGCACCTAGATAATTATGCGACTGAATGACAGAGGATGGGAGTATTTGGGGACAGTGTTAGAACTCCACCTACCACGAGAGTTTCACGCCCCAGCACCCAGGCTCTGAACTCGCCCCTAAGAGAGCCTGCCCCACTCCTCCAGCCGGCCCTGTAGCCTGGGATCTTTATCGCCGCTGTGCGCTCCCTTGACTCACTTGACTGTCCCCTCCTGCTCAGGAAAGGAACCTTGCCGAGGGCCTGGATGGAGCCCAAGACCCCGGGAATGACGACTATGAAGACCCCACGCTTCACGTGGCAGAGGCTTGGCAGCAGATGAAAATCCTGCCAGCCAGGCCTATAAAGGAATCTGAATATGCAGGTAAGGGTGGGGCCTAGCGCCCCAAAAGGCTCCATCAAAGCTGCGGGTTCTGCTTAACTAGCTCCCGGGGGAATCCTGCCTCCGTGGCTTTCCAGAGGCGTGACCGCGGGCAGGCCTCTAAAACTCCTCTTTCCTGCTTGAACTAGGGGTCATCATCACAGAACTGATCCCAGAGGGTTCTGAGGAGGGGCCGCGCATGCCGGGTGTCGAGTCCCCACAGGACCTGGCGGAGTCGGGCTCCATAGCTGTCGGTTATCGCAGTGCTTGTCCTGGCCCTGGGAATGGCCGGCGAGCAGGGCAGAGGGGCGCAGGCAGAGATGTGGGCACCACGGGACAGCTGAGAGGGTTGGTTTAGAGGCGGGGAGTGAAAGGAAGGCTTTCCCCTGGGCCGGTGCGTCTCGGGAGCCAGCGTGGGAGCAGCGGGGACCGTGGCGGAAAAGCCCAGCTTGTTCCGAGGAAGGACCCAGGTTCCAGCCGGGGCCTGCCTCCAGCTGGGGCCCACACACCCTCTGAGCCCGGGGGCAGCGCCCACCCGCAGGGGAACGACAGGCAGCTGTGATTTCGGGGGACCTGGCCCCGAAATGAACCCAACGAAGTTCTTCCAAAGAGAACCATCCTGGAAAGAAGGGCGCCATTCCTTGGCTCACTCACCGGGCATTCGCTGAGGCCTGCCCTGTGCCAGCTACCGTGCCAGGACCGACCGAGGGGCGCGAAGACAGGGCACACCCAGGGTCCCAGGAGGGCACAGGCTAGAGGCAGAAGCAGAAGATCAACAGATACACGTGCTAGAATGTGCTGCATGCATAAAACAGAACGGAGCGGGTGGGATCTAGGAAGATCTCCACGGGGTGTGCCGCAGCCGGGCCTCGAAGGCTGCGAACCCCGGGGCCCAGAAGCCAGATGGGCCAGTCCTGCCCCCGGCGTTCGCGTGTCCGGGCGGAGGGGGGACTTCTCTTCTGCGCGCCTCAGTCTCCGCATCTGTAAAGTGGGAGCACGATTGCTGGCCCCACGCTTTTGTTCTGGGGACTCTGAGCTTGCAGATGTGCGGGAACTGTATGAGTTGCAATGTGCTGAGTCCGTGTAAGATGTGACTTCAGTTTTTCTCTGTTCGCAGATACGCGCTATTTCACGGGCATGGTGGACACGCCCCTTCCCTTGGGTGCTGAGGTGCCGGTCCCTGCGGAGGGGCAGAGGTGGGCCGCGCAGACCGGGCAGGAAGAGGTGAGTGAAGGCTCGCCCCTGTGAGCCAGACACGTGTGGGGCACTGCCTGGCAGCCAGGAGCACCCCTCTCTCATTCCCGGGCACCTTGTTGGGAACGAGCCTGTCTAGCTCCCGTGACTGGTGGGACCATGGTCCCATGGAAGGGAGGAGAGCTGACGTCTGTTGAGGGTTTTCCGCGACTATCTGCCATCACTGAGGCCTGCATCAGGGCCTGCCCCGGGGGCCAAGGACACTCAGGGCACTGTCACTGGAGCACAAAGCATATCCAGGCAAAGATAAGAGCTCCAGAGTGACGGGATCAGAGGCTCAGGACGGAGGCTGTGGTCTGGTGACCAAGCAGCAGAGAATGCTGACCCCAAATGACCAGTTTTTCTTTCCCTAGAAATCACTGTTCATCAACACTTTACGTGTAAATCAGCCGTCAGGAGAATTTTTTAGATAATTCTCATTTGATTTTTTTCAATAACTGGGCCAGAATGTAAGCCTCCATTCTTATTGTTTTCCATTCCTTCAAAATACCTTTGTAACTTTTGTTACAACACAGATTTTCTTCGGCTAGGCCCTTAGCAAGCGGAACTATGATCTCGGCACATGAAGTCCATGAAATATTGTGAGGGAAAGGGCATGGGGGCGTGAGCACAGCTTTGGCCGGGAGGGAAACTGTCCGTAAACTGGAGAAGGAGGCGGCCTCGGCGCGGATGGACAGGGAGATCCACTTGTATAATCAGTGTTTGAATAACCAAGTTTCGTGAGAAGCAGGTTATATTTTCACTGTCACCTCATTCTCAGGGCCTAATTCCTGTTAGTTCTGCACATTTATGTTGAGACGAAGCGATCTGTGAAATGGGTCTTCAGGAATCCCCACAGAGGCCAGAGTTTATCTAGACTCCTTGGCTGGTTACAATCGTCCTAAACCACGAATCGACTGCGCGGGTTTCCGTTTATTGAGCACTGACTGCGTGCCCGCACTGTGCTCAGCGCTGGAGATGAAGAGGTGAGGCAGCAGCCAGTCGGATGGAGGAGGCAGTGGCCCAACCTGGCAGCTTCAGAGTCACGGGAAATGCTCAGGCAGGGCACAGAGAGAGACCTAAGCCGTGTCACTCAGCCCAGCCACGGCTTTGGAGGAGCCTCTGGAGGAAGCAGGCTCTGACACCAACGACACAGTGCTTTAATCCCTGGCTCTCATGCAGGGTGACTTGCTCCCTCGGGGACACTTGGCAATGTCTGGAGGCATTTTTCGGTTGTCAGAACTGGGGGCATTACTGCCATCTAGCGGGTGGATGACAAAGATGCCACCGCGCAGGCTACAAGGCACAGGCAGCCAGTCCCCACCCCAAAGAATTCTCCAGCCCCGGCCCCCACAGTGAGTTCTCCGAGACTGAGAACCCTGGGTTACAGTGACACCTGGGTTATAATTGTATGCGTTGGAAACTCAGAGCTGTGTACGTGCCTGAATCCTCTGGAGACTCCAATATGCCCCTCGTTTCCTCATGGTCCAGCATCATTGCAGGCGTGCTATAATAGGTTCTAATAAATATTTATTTGATAGAAGATGGGAGTCGCTAGCACACCATGGAGGTGAAACCCCGACCCAGGCCTCTGAGAGAGGCACACGCTGATCTGCCTGCTCACTTGCCTCCGGTGTACTTGATCCCGTACAACGGTCTTCGTAATAACAGCGACGGGAACGGACCGAGTGTTGTCCCTGGAATAAAGACGGAAAAGCAAAGGCTTTCAACATGCTAACCGCCTTTCCTAAGTTTCACGGCAACAAGAGTCAGGGTTGGATCTCAGACCCAAGTAGTTTTATGACCAATACCACCCACAGTCGCCACACTCGTCGCTGGCCCAGCGGGACACATATTGACACTCGCTGACTGACTGCGAACCGTACACAGTGGTGACCTCTGAGAGTGACGAGTCCTATGCCCTGATGCTTGGGAATCTAACCATGCGGGGTGGCAGGACATGAGACGGCATCATAGCCACAATTTAAGAGATAATGGTGCCCCGTTGTCTTCTACAGGTGGACAAACCCATTTCCAAGAACATCAGAGGCCAACCTGTTCAAGGTAAGGTCAAACCTGAACATTTGACATCTAAGCATAGTTCTTTGCTTCCAAAATCTTCTCGCATTTTTGTTTGTGGCCACGGATTTTCTCAAACAAGGTGATCTAGGAACTTTCACCCTTCGCAAAATAACTAACTTTAGAAAGATTCTCACACATCTTATGCCTTTTTATCACCTTACTTTATTGATGAAGAGATTGTGAAAATTTCAGAAAGAAATTGTTTTAAACCATATGGCTCGTGGCAAGCATATAACTAAGTTATTTTTCTAAGCTTACTCCCAATAAAATCATGACAAGATAGAAATCTAATTTTAAAATGTTGATTAATTAATATGAAAACAGATATCAAAGCTTTAGGCAAAGCAACTCAGTTTGGAGATGAAGATGCAGGTGGGAGGCAGAAGGGAAGTAATTTTGGTAGCGCTCGAAGCAGAGGGCAGCAGAGAAATTTAATAGGATCGAGTCCATTGTAACCTCTCCCATTATTTTCCCCGCACCCCTGTCTTCTCTTACAATGTCCGACTGGAAAAGATGGCAATCCCATGATTTACATTCCCCACCAGCGAGACATAGCAGATTCACCTTTTATGTGTCTGCTGCTCTAGTCTCACATATCACTAATACCACACATTCTCTAACGGGACAGTGTAACAGCGAGGGTCCTAACAGGAAACGGGGGGCACGCCCCAATCAGGGTAATCTAAGGAAGTTTACTTACAAAGGAACCACTTACTGAGGCACATGGGCGCAGGGGAAGAACCAGGGACGGTGCCAGAACTGGGGCTAAAGGCAGGGGCACTGTCACCACCCCCCGGCCCAGAGCGATGAGGGGACAGTCGCTGAAGACCAGGAGGAGCACGATGCCTTCAGAGGAGCAGCGACCGCCGGTCGAGGGACAGCACCAGCCCAGGTGGACCTCACGAGGTGGCAGCCAAGCTTCCCTCTGGTCTCCTGGGGTTTCCCAGGGGCTGAGCCCAACCAGAAACCAGAGGACAGGACGGCCCCAGCGTGGCCCATACCGCTTGGTGGCCAGGGCGGAGAGTGGGGTGCAGGGGGTAGAGGAACCTGGAGGAGCAAACAGCAGATCTCTGCAACGGGAAACACGTGGAAGGGACAACGAGGGCAGCCAGAGCCCAAGCTCTGCCCCAGTCCTGCTTTCCTCTCAGACGAGGAGCGAGCAGGGCCTTTATGACTGTTCAATTCCGTCGCATCCGTGGAGGCAAGAAGGACACTGTGATGGTGGAAACAGTAGTTGTTCCCTGGTACATCTCTGTCTCCATCCCGCATAACCTCACAGATCCCCACCTTCTTTCCATCCCATTCCTGAACCCCCCAGAGTGGGGGCTTTCATATCAGCCCTCGTCAGTCCTTAAATGTGGCAACGACGTTCGGTGTGCACAGCACGTGACTGGGAGCTCCTCTCCATTAAGATGGATTTTACTCCTCAGAAACACTAACCCAGGTGAATCGGTAGAGTATTTTCATGCTCTTGACCCAGGAGGAGACCAGAAGCAGAGAGAGGTCCCGGACCATGCCGTGAGCATGTGATACAAACGTTCCAGGTCGTAACTGGACCTTCATGGAGGTCCACTGGGAAATGGGTCCCGGGGAGAAACCGGACAAGAACAGGACTTGGCAGTTCCTCTCTTTTCTTGACAGTTCTCTGTAGATATCCACCTTGGCTTCTCTGACTACAGAAGCTTCTTTGGGCATTATTTCCCTGTCAGTATGTCCGCTTAACTGGACAGTTTTGATCCCAATTTCTACACGTGGTTGGGGTTTCTCACCCCGCACCACCGAGCGATTCTGAGACACCACTGGTGTCCTACCTGTCACTTCAATTCTGACACTATCTACCCAGACGTAACCTGAGATTCCGCTGGCGAAGGGCTCGGTCCTGCCAGACCACCTCCGCGACCTCCACTGCAGACGCCAGTCTCAAGTCCAGGTCGCCACCCGCTTCTGACCGACCAGCTATACTGGTCAACTTGATGAAAAACATCCCCATAAAATCCAACCAGGTTGGAGGTTCCCACGACCCCCTCCGTGGATTCCATGAGTTTGCTGGAGCGGCTCACAGAGCTCAGAGAAGCATTTTACTTACTAGATTATTGGTTTATTATAAAAGGTTAGAGCTCAGGAATAGCCAGGTGGAGAGATGCATAGGACAAGGCATGCGAGGGGAGGAGAGTCCATGCTTCCTGAATCCCCACGTGTTCACCAAACCCCATCCTTTGGTGTTTTCTTGGAGGCTTTGTTACATAGACAAGAGTAACTGAATCATTGCCACTGGTGGCCGAGCTCCATCTCCAGCCCCTCTCCCCTTCCCAGCTTTTAGTTGGGCTGAACAGTCCAACCCTCTAATCACACGGATGGCTCCGCAGGCAGCCAGCCCCACGGCGGGTGTGGCCTAACACTCGCCTCATTAACGTAACAAAAGACACTTTTATAGCTTCATTATTTAGGAATTCCAAGGGATTTAGGAGCTCTGTGCCAGACACAGGAACAAAGACCAGACTACATTTCTTGTGATAAATCACAGTATCACAATTATCCTTTCATTTATTTATCTATACGTTACCTTGTCTCACAAAGATATTGGAGTAGCTAAGAAAAACTTGCATAGTAAAACAGAAGAAAATTAAAAATCGTAGAAAAACCTACATAGACTATATAACAAAGATAAAATTCAGGATCCTCAGGTGCACATCACTACCTTCCAGTAAGACTGAGATATTCATTTGCCTCTGAGCTTCCCGGTAGTCTAGGCAAAAAGGGGATTATGCTTCTTTATGTGTATTAATTGCCCATAACACAAAAAGCAAACAAAGTCTTCAGGGAGAGCAACAAGGACATATCCCTCAGAGTTAAGTTAGTGTTGTCAGTTTTACAGGGGATGCTGGCTGGTATATGGGTACCATGGTTACAAAAATAGGACTGATTTTAAAAATAGATCCCAGTGTAAACTGAGGCCAAAGCTGCAGAGAGGACCTCAGTGAAAGCGAGGCTTACAGAAGTTTAAGCTTGGGCGGGGGGGGGTTGGAAAACTTCAATAGGAATTATTTCCTGCGCATCCTCGCAGGCTCCCATAATTGATGGCCCTCCATTAGCACCCAGAGCTCCAAGGTACTACACAGGGAAGGAAGCGGCAAGAGGGGAAATTGATATGAATGCCCCCGTTTCCAAGATCAGGCATCTTGCTAGGAAATGCTTCAATGATTTATGTGTTTATTACCAACTTCTGTGTTTTTGATGCAAACACATCCTCAGATAATTTATTCATTCTCACCAAATGTCATAGAAAAAAACCTATCGGGTGGTTCCATAATGGCAGGATTTTATGGTGATGTTTTTCATCAAGTTGAGCAGTTATAGATTTATGTTAATGTACATTTTGTGTCATTTTTCTTACAATCATCTTCTGACATTATCTGGAAACTGTCAGATTTTAAGAACTTATCTTCCCTGAAGCTTGACTTTATTTTCATTGCTAAAAATGGATAAAAGTTTTACTTGAGGGCAAAGTATGTATATACATAGTGTAAGTTGTTTGAGAGGAACCATTAGCGTTAACCACAGATTCGGAAGTCATCGTCTTTTCAAACGAGGAGAGCTGTAGCATTCGAATGTGGTGTGGCTTAGCTTCTTTTTTTTTATTTTATTTTAGAGAGAGAGGAAGGGGGAGGGAGAGAAACATCATTGATCGGCTGCCTCCTGCAGGGCCCCTGCTGGGGATCCAGCCTGAAACGCGGGCATGTGCCCTGACCCGGAATGGAACCGTGATCTCCTGTTCATGGGTCGACACTCAACCACTGAGCCGCACCGGCCAGGTGTGGCCCAGCTTCTTAATGCTGAGAACAAAGGAAGCTAAAATGAATTTCTCTTTGCCTTGGTTGTACACCAAACACAAGCTCTGCACCAATCTCCTCGGAAGTGACAAGCAAACCCTACACAAGACTGGATTTATAACAAGACACACTAAGCCACCCAAGACAAGAAAGAGAATTACGCAGAGGTGACTAAACATGCAAATCCTGAAACACCAGCTCGCTTGAAAAGAAGCAAAACGGAATTCCACGTGATGCCATCCAAAGACCTTTCTGCCAGCCGGCTTTCAGACAAGTTTAGATGCCAAAGGAATTCGAGTCAGAGGTGACATCGATGTGAACCTGGTTCAACTCCCTCGTTTTATGCAAAGAGGTCCAGCAAGAGGACTGGTTTGCTCAAGGTCGCCAAGCAAGTGGTCACAGCCAAGACCAGGACCCAGTGCTGTGTCCACTGTGGCAGTGGCTCCAGAGCTCTCTGTATGTGCTAGTACCTGAAATGTATTCTGCAAGCCCCCCCGCTGCTCCCTAACCGGAAGCCCACTGATCCGCACCGTGCAGGTTCAGTGCTGAAGACAGGAATTGATGGGGGGGCGCTGCCCCCCCCAGTGGCGGAACACAGCAGCACAAAATACCCCAAAAATGATGGAATTTGCCATCCTATATATCACATCCTTAACAGGTCTAAATGTATTTCAGACACGACCCCTGGCTCAAAAGCAACAGACTTTAATACAATACTCAGTTCAAAGTTAAGGCTATAAGCTTTGTAAAACCACTCCTCAGTGAGACTGCAGGGCAGCTGGCTGTCTCGCCACCACCCAGAGAAAATCAGGCTCGGAGGAAAGGAAAGGCGTCTGATAACTGCTAGATGCAGCGAATGTCTTTCCTGATAGAGAAATATAAAGTAGCCGCAGCTAGAATTGAAAAGCAGACAGTGATAGCACTGCGATAACTGCCAGGGCAGAAGGTCACTTCGTTTCGAGTCCTTTCGTGCCAGGCCCTGGCGGAGCCCGCAGTCTGGCCAGTTCTATATTAAGCATGTGGGAAACAGGGGACACTGGCCTGAGGCGAGAGACGGCAGCTTCAGGAGCAGTTCAGCATTATTTCTGATGCCCAGAAGCAGCTCAGATGTGGTTGTGTAGACGATGGACCTGGGGCCTGCGTTCCTTCCCGCCTCGGATTTATGACGCCTTAGAAGAGAGACTCACTAGGTACTCCGTCCCCAGCTCTAATAAACTGTTACAAGCTGCTCGGACCGGACACGGTCTCACGATACTTTTGTCTTCTCGGGAGGTTTTGCTTTAACTTCACCGCGCCCTGTGAGGCTGGAAACTCTTCATGGTCTCACCCCAATAAGTCAGAGGTACCGGGCAGGCTGGGCCGACAGATCCCGCGGCCAAGCCTCTGAACCGAGCCGTCTCCTCCGACTCTGGAGCCTGGGGGCGCTGATGACACACGTGGCCGCCAGGTGGCGAGCGTGCCGGCGGCCGTGAGGCTGCTTCGTTCACTTTCCAGACGGGAAGGACCTGGAAGAAGGAATATTTAGCCTTCTTGCGTGACAGACGTGAAACTTTGCACAGAGCCTGAGAATATCTGTGCACTTCTCAAGAGGGGAAACTGCCGCATCGCCTCTGATCTTCCATCGCTCACCAGTGTCAGTAACGAAAGCCGGGGACCCAGGGCCCCAAGTCACTTACTCCACATGCAAATTCCCAGGAAGTGCGTCGCCAGCCATCACCCTCTGGGGAGAAAGCTCAGCCCCTCCAGTCCGGGGCTTTATTTCAGGGTGTTTCTTGAGCACCTGCCGGGATTCCGCCCACAGTAAGCAGCAGAGCCAAGGTTCAAACCCGAGGAAGTCAGCTCCAGCCCCACCCTCCGCCGGCACCCCGAGCACCTGGCCGGGTTTCACCTGGACTGCCCTCAGAGCTGTGTGGCCCAGCTTCCCTGCTCGCGGGGTCCCTGGAGTTCATCTCCAGCTCTTAGCTTCTTGGGTTTCAGGGATCTAAGCCAGCGATTTTCAGCCGGTGTGCAGCCAGAATTTTTCAAACACCTACCTGACTCTTTAGTCAGGGGCACCGACCACTCTTCCCTTAGATTGTCAAATAAAAAAGTTGGCAGCAGCCAACCCAACAACAGCCATCGGGTGTGACTAAATCAAAATTATACCTGTTTTTTTGTCAGATTGGCAAAAAACATAATATTTTTTTGGTGTGCCACAGAATTTTAGTAATTAGCTTTGTGCTGGGAGATGAAGGTTGAGAATCGCTCCTCTAAGCCATGAACAGCAGAGCGTGAGGCATAATTACCGAGAGCAGGCGTGTCTGATGCAGCTGAAGCCCTCGGGCATTTCTGTTACTGTCGCTGATAATAGCACACCCAGATTTTTAAAGTGCGGGGACTACGAAAGGAAGCCAGAGAAAACCCTACCTCCTACATTACAGTGAAGACACAGAGCACTTGGCCTGCGTATCGAAAAGATGCGCCGTGGCTCAGGCAGAGTGCTTACCACAGCCCGTGAGAGCCCTGTCGCCTGGGCACCCCCCGTCCACCACCAACCCCCTCATCTCGCCTCAGGGCCTTTGCACTTGCTGTTCCCTCTGCCCAAATATTCACATGGTGCGCTCCCTCGCATTCCCCAGGCCTCTGTTCTCATCACCTATCCAGGGGGCCTTCTGGGGTCTACTGAAAACATACAGTCCCATCCCCATCCCTCCCTCTCCAGGCCCGACTGTCCCTCACCCAGCTTCATTTTTATGTAGCACCTTGTCCTCACCTGTCATCATATACTTTTGTTTGTTTTCTATCTTCTGCCACTGAAATGTAAGTTATGTGGGAACAGCAGCTTTTTTTTTTTTGTATTATAGTCCCCAATAGCTGCATCAATACATGTGTGAAACAGGAATCCGTGCCTGACCCATGCTATGTGCTCAGTAATGTCAGGGAACAAAAGGAGACAGATCGCCTTTTCTAAGCTTCCCGTCACTGGAGCAGAGATAGATGTCTCTGAAACCTTAAATGGAATGTTCCTACGGAATTCCAGACTCTCTGCTCTTTACTGAACTTGTTTCCAGTGAATTGAATTGACCCCCCCCCATGGACAGAGCAGTGGCTGTGAGAAAAGACCTCTAGGACAGCCACTGTCTGGCCTCACTGGAAGGTCAGCGGCACCCAGGGAGCCCTGAAGGGGAAGCCAATACACAGTGAAATGAGGGCGAGTTCATTTTATGTTGTCTAAATAATTTTGTGCCTTAAGAAAGTATCATGGGGTCTAAGCTTTTGGGTGATGTCATTAAAATAGCCAAAGATACCACATTAGCTTGGTGCTGGGTACTTAATTAGATAGCAGTAAATGTTGCCCCGGCCAACGTGGCTCAGTTGGTTGGAGCGTTATTCCCGACACCAAAAGGTGGTGGGTTTGATTCCAGGTCAGGGCATGTACGGGAGGCAACCTATTCGATGTTTCTCTCTCCCATCAATCTCTCTCCCTTCCTCTCTCTCTAAAATCAATAAACATATCCTGGGGTGACGATTAAATCTTTAAAAATATATTAATTGACATGATCATCAAGATCATTCAAATGGAAATGATTTCCGTGTGACTATGTGTAAAAATAGCCCGATGACATTTTCTGTAAACTCACTGTTGTTCCTTCTTACGTTTTAGGAAACAAACCCACTAAGAGAAACAAGGTAAGAAGGACCATGAAAACGCGCTTGCTACCCACGCCTTGCTTCCGCAGCTCAGGGGCGTGGGCACTGTGAGGCTGAGGCATCACTTGAAAGCTATAGCCTGAAGGATTAGTTGGGATTTGTCATTTCTGTTTGTAAACCGAAAAGTTATTAACCATTAGCTCAGCTCTACGACAATAAATCTCACTTCTGATTCTCTCTCTTTTTGCAGACTCCTTTACCACCTCCTCGGTAAGACACTTTAAAATAGTACTTTGTTCTGCTATCATCAGGGGTGGGGAACCTTTTTTCTGCCAAGGGACATTTGGATATTTCTAGCATCATTCACGGCCCATACAAAATTATCAGCTTAAAAATTAGCTTTGAAAAAAGCTCCTATATTTCTTGAATTTCAAGCCCTACCTGAGGTTGCCTTGGCAGGGCCAGACCAGATGACTTCGAGGGTCATGGCCCACGGGCCGGGTGTTCTCCGACCCTGTGCTCTATGCTTAGATAATAAGTTCCAGAATTTGAAAAGCCCCAAAATTTATAAAAGAGAAACACAGAAAAATTGACAGTGAAAAATTAATAAGAGTTGGCCGGTGAGACAAGGTCAAACAAGCCTTCCTTCACGCGTTGAACCCGCCACTCGCTCACCGCTGCTTGTCCAGCGCACCCTCCTCCTCATTGCTCCCTGTTCCTCCCCGTTTCTCTCCCTTCCAGTCCAGACACCTGCCGGATAGGACTGGCCCTGGGAAATGCCTTCACGGGGCTTACAGCATATCAGTTTACATTTATAGAAGCAAATATATAAGTACGAATATTATTATATTTACCAGTACATAGGTATGGAGGCGAGAGAAACAGGCTTGACCTCCCCGGCTTTGCCCAGGCAGCCACTCCCGCCCTCCCTGGGCCCTGGGAGTGCTTCAGCCGTCACCCTCGCTGGGAACCTTCCTGTCACGTCTCTCTCCCTCCCTCCCAGAGGGAAGTATTGAGCCAGCGTCTGAGCCTTTCCTCTCCGCATCCCCAGCACCTACCAACAGTGCCCGGTACTAGACAGCGAGTGAGTGAACGGAGACTGCATGGTGAGAGGCGGTCATTGACTCTCAGGCATTTCCCCGTTTCTCTGGGGAGTGTAAACAGCTCAGGTTTTCCTGCCCGGGACAAATGAAAGGCTCTTATGATATTTAGTCCCCGGGCCTCCTAACACTCAAACAGGTGGCCTATTGAAGAACCAAAGCCAGCCTGTAGAAGATGACATCAGAGAACAGAACCTAACCAAAGAGCACATTGCAGGGAGGGAGGTGTAGGCTCCTTGGAGAATGTCCTGGAATGGACCAGGCGGAGCGATCAAGCAGCAACACCCAGAAACTGACGTTCCCCACCCAACGCTGGGGGCACTGAGGGCAGGGCTGTCTGAGGAGCCACCTGTGCCGCAAAGCTTCTCACTTCCCCTTGTGACTCTGCACACAGGCTACCTGTTATCACTCTTCCAAAGAAGTACCAGCCCTTGCCCCCCGAGCCCGAGCCCGAGGGCGGCCCGTCCCCCTTCCCCCAGAGGCACACCTTCCCGGACGTGCAGAGGGGACCCAGGTGAGAGACTGGTCGTGGCTGCTGGTGAAATGCCCAGGGGGATGGGTGGGCTGGGGAGGGTGACAAGGGCAACCCAACAGTCACCCCTCAGAACAGGCTCCCTAATGCGGTGAGGAGGGGCCAATTGTACCTTGAGGGAAAATAGTCTTAGAAACTGGTAGTTTAATTCTTTTTTTTTTTTAAGTATGTTTTGATTGATTTCAGGGAGAGGATGGGAGAGGGAGAGAGAGAGAAACATCAATGATGAGAGTCATTGATCAGCTGCCTCCTGCACCCCCCCTACTGGGGATCGAGCCCGCAACCCAGGCATGTGCCCTGACCGGGAATCGAACCCCGATCTCCTGGATCCTAGACCGATGCTCAACCGCTGAGCCACGCCCGCCGAGCTGGTAGTTTAATTCTTTAACTGAAAACACAGCTTTTTTTTGTAATGAAATGAGTTATTGAAAGAATGGCTCGCTTGAGACCTGAATTAGTTATTAAAGAAAATGTTAAATGCCAGCACAAAATCAGGACCTTTTATGTAAAAACCAAAAGGTGGTTTGGGCTATTCAAGGAACACTACTGGTCCCCAGCTTCCCATCAGCCGTGAAATATACTCGTATTTCACATGAACATAACCACGTATGGAAATCCATTTGTCAAAAACATTACCACCTCTGTGACAAATAAACATTACAAAACCGACCCTCTGGTATTAGTGCTGATGAGGGACCCTCATTCCCTACCGTGTGGGGCATTGGCTGCCAGCTCTAATCACAAAATGTGACAAACCTGAAGGGGCGTATTTTTCCCCCAGAGTTGGACTGTCAGAATTACCTTGTTCTGGAAATTGGAGCAGAGATTAGCGTTTCCCTCGCGTTTCTCACAGAAGGAGCGATGCTGTCTCCCTGAAGGTTTGAATCAGAAGTCAGGACACTGGGATTATTTACCAGTGAGTCTTTCTCACGGATACAGAAATTCAAAATATCAGGCACACTTTGATGGAAAACCCATTTATCACTGATGGAGGCAGTTAAAGAGCCTAAAATGTCATTTCTCCCCACTTTATTTTGTGGTGAATGTCTCTTCGTCTTTTTACATATATGTGTGTGTTTCTATTGATTTCTGAGAGAGGAAGGGAGAGGCGGAGAGACAGAAACATCAATAATGAGAGAGTCATTGATCGGCTGCCTCCTGCACGCGCCCTACTAGGGATCAAGCCCCAAACCTGGGCATGTGCCCTGACTGGGAATCAAACTGTGACCTCCTGGCTCATGGGTTGATGCTCAACCACTGAGCCACACCGGCCAGGCTCTCTTCATCTTCCTTTCCGTCACAGCTTCACACAAACATACATCTTCCAGGCCAGCACCCCTCCCTTTCCCCCTCCCCCACGCTGTTTCCTGTCTCCTCTGTCCCCTTGGCAGTGGGCATAGCATGTGGGAAGGGACATGAGTTCTCAAGACCTTATTCAAACTGCCCAGGTTGAAGGTCAGGCCCTCCTTCTTATGAGCTGGTGGTTTGGGACAGGGGACTTCAACCGGGGGTGACTGTGTCTCCAAGGAGTTATCTGTGCCCAGAGACATCTGGCTGTGACAACTTGGATGGCGGGATGCTCCCGGCATCTCGTGGGTAGAGAGGCCAGGGATGCTGCTAAGCAGCAAAGAGCAGTGAGACTGAGGAGGCCAATGTTCCAAGGCTGAGAAACTCTGCCTTCGGGGAAATGACTAACCTCCCCTGAGCCCAGGGCTTCTCTCAGGGTGAAGTGAGTTGACCAGCTCCTGACCAGCTCGTGACAGCGCCCGCCCAGTGTGTGTTTATAACCAACACTTACTTGCTACCATGGCCTTGAGCCCCTTCAGCCGGGGCCCTTGCCTTCTCATAAATATATTTGGATACAAGTCTGTCTCTTCCAGCCCAAAAGGAGGGACTATCTCACTCCCATGTGCCTATTCCCGGCACAGTGCCCGGCACACAGCAGATGTCTGATGAATAGGTATTTCCTTCTGCAGCCTCCGAAGGGTCCCAGCCAGGCCAGGAGTCACCGCGTGGGCTCTGCTTTGATTTCTGTTCTCAAAGACAGAGACTAGGGGGCAGCAACAATAAGAGGCCACCAGATCCATTAAGCGGTGTCATCAGAATTGGAAATGTAAAAGGCAGCACCCCTAGAACTCCCCAGCAAGTAGGCTAGGAGGGTGAGCCCTGGTTGAAACCCGAGAAGTAGGAGATAGAAGGAAAGACGGATCAAGCATTGATGGTGACGAGCCTGTGTCCTGTGGAGAAAAGGGGGTGTCCTTTTCTCTCTGTGTTTTGTTTTGTTTTGATGCTGGAAAGAGCAGGATGTAGGGACCCAGCAGGCCGGGCCTGGCCCCAGCGCAGCCACTTCCGCGGGGTAAAAAGCTCTGGGACGGCTGTGCACCGCTTTCCTTGACTGTAGGAAGAAAATAGCCGCGGACCGGACAGGATGTGGTGAGGGGGGCTGGGACTTTTCTCACGTGCCCAGGACAGTGTCTGTCACCTCCTAAGAGAAGGNGGACCCAGCAGGCCGGGCCTGGCCCCAGCGCAGCCACTTCCGCGGGGTAATGCGGGAAAGCTCCGGGACGCCTGNCTTCCGCGGGGTAAAAAGCTCTGGGACGGCTGTGCACCGCTTTCCTTGACTGTAGGAAGAAAATAGCCGCGGACCGGACAGGATGTGGTGAGGGGGGCTGGGACTTTTCTCAAGTGCCCAGGACAGTGTCTGTCGCCTCCTAAGAGAAGAAAAACAGGCCAACAGCATCCCCCAGCGTCCCGGTAGGAGTGGGCACCCAGCACCGCACCCTCTTTTCCCTGACGGAGCCTAGGTGGCCTAACGCAGCGCTTCCTCCCCGCTCCACGTTAACCTAAACCGAGAGCTTGCTGGGGGCACTGTCCCCCGTATCCGCGGGGCCCAGGTGGCCTANGCACCCTCTTTTCCCTGACGGAGCCTAGGTGGCCTAACGCAGCGCTTCCTCCCCGCTCCACGTTAACCTAAACCGAGAGCTTGCTGGGGGCACTGTCCCCCAGATCCGCTCCCACTGCCCTGAGGGGTGCGTGTGATGGGCAGCAGGGTTAGGCACCCAGAGGGGCCGGGTTCTGGGGGTGCATTGCCGTTAGAGCTTGGAGGGTCCCGGCCGCACCTGTCTGCGCCCCGGCTTCTGGTGTGTGAACGCTGCTCCACGGAGCCCACTGAGCCCCTGGCGGCGGGTCTCGCCGTCCGCGGTGCTGCCACCTGGTGGTGCCGGAACCTTAGACGCTCGCGCGCGCCTCTGGTGCTTCTGCCTCCGTCCTTGACATTTGTTGAATCGTTTTCAGCTGTGATGACAACCGGCCGGGTCTCCTCAGGGCCAGCACCTCCAGAGCAATGACGTGTCACCCCACGGCCTCCTTCCACCGGCCAGCCGTGTGCGGTTTCTAAGGCTCCGAAGGGCAGAGTGCCCAGCCCGGTGGAGGGCACACAGTGGGTGCCCAGTGAAATGCCACTGCCCTGTCCACTGGGCACAGAGGGTCACTAAGATTCAGAGAAGTTAGGGGACTTGGTCAAAGCTACAGGGGTGACTCCTGAGGGGCAAAAACCCGAGGAGCCCTGTGCAAGACCCTGGGAAGGGCCCTGCGAATAAGAGAGCGTTGCTTTAGGGAGACAGCTTTCAACCCATTTTCAGTCGGGCCTCATGCTGGCTGTCAGGTGGCCGTTGCTGATGGCTCATGTCACAGGTACACACCCCCCGGGGCGGCTGCTTGGCTCACTCTCTCTGAAATCGGAAGGACCGCTGGAGGTCTGAGCTGCTTCTGCCAAAGCAGGAAAAGGAGCCCCGCCCCTTCCCAACAGCCCCCCCCCCC